ACATAAGCTCGATAATACCGAGCTCAGTGATCAAAACAGAACACTTTCACTTCACCTTCACTTGGTTACCGAGAAAAAGAACAAAAAAAAAAAAGAAGAAACAAAATATTTGCATGCATTCAATTTCGTAAAAAAATCTCGCAGGTCCAGCTAAAATCAAAGATACGTGAAAAAGACTCGAGAGATCGGTGATTCCCGTTTGGTTTCGGTAATGAGAATGATCGAACGCGATGATTCGGAACGCATTTTCGGCACTCCAATTTTGCGCGTCCAGCCGCTACTGCTTCAATTGGGACACCGTCGTCGCTTCCACATATGCCCGACGACGACGTCGATCGCGAAGTGTACATCCCCTCAATGTCTCAGCTTCGCGACGGACAACGTCGAATATATTTGTAATTGTTTTTCTATCAGAAACCTAACCGATGATAAGAATAAGTTACTTCACACTTTTCCCTATCCCTCCTTGATCCCCTTATGAGGCACGGGCATGTTGTAACTCGTCTTTGCGTAAAGAGAGGCTTTCACTTTCTGTCTCAGTCCGTCCTCGTCTCGCTCTCCCTCGTTCTCTCTTTTTGTTTCCGTCCCCGATTTCTAATTGTACGAGCAACGACACAACGGTGAGGATCGAAGGCGTTATTTTAACAGCGTTCGATTGCAATTTTCCTTCTCGAATAAATAAACTTGAAGTCTTTGCAATTACATGGCGCAATTAGCGTTCAATATAATCGTCCGATTTCAAAATTACCAATTTAAAACTAAAATTCTTTTTCTTTTCTAAAATTTTTTTTAGATTTCACTTGATCATTTTTGCAAGTTTGAGTTTTAAGATTATATTACGTAACTTAGTTAAGAATGGAAAATCTTTAACGCTATAGAATTACGTCATCATTTAGAATTATCATTGAAACATATCACTGAAAAACAAGAATACGATGAATATCCAAGAATGTTTATCAGAGAGAAATATACTTATTTCCAGATAAGTAACTTGCATGCGCTGCATCCAAATGACTTAATCCCTCGTACTTTCTTGGTTTCTCGTTTTTGATAGTTCTAAATAAGATAAAATGCAGCTGTTATCATAACGCCTTCAATTAGAGAATAATCCTCATGTTTCGCCCTATTAAAACATTGTTGGGATTTAGTTTTGACTTTCGATTTGATTTTCATGCCGATACCCATTAGTTCTCCGTTTGCGTCTTAATGAGCCGCTTAATAATGAGAACAACGCGGGCAACTATCAGGCGCAATATCTTGTTTCTAAAACGATCATAGTACAAATGCGGCAGAATCATACCTCTTCTGAGTATTGATAAGATTTCCTTCAAAATTTTCTCCTTAACAATCTTATTTTAATTACAATATAATTATAAATATAATAGAAGTTCTTTAAAAAGAAGCCAGTTTTAATAAAAATCGTAACAGCACTCAGAAAAATACGATTTCAATATAATAGGATCGGGAATGTACAAATCCTATCATTATTCTGAGGTAGAACATCGCATTTTTTATTTATATGCGGCTAAGATACGAGCGGCAAAGAGAAATACTGAGTGTCAGCTCGAAAATTATGTCGAAAGCCATGATTAAATTCCATCATTGTCTATTAAAGCATTAATAATGTTGGCATTAATTGTTTGCGTCGTAAAACGTATGGCTAATAACTTTGAAATTCTATATATATAGATATATATAGCTAAAAACTATATACAATTGATTATAAATAACGTATAAGGCCTTTTTGGTTTTGCGACGACGGCAATGAGAGTTGACTGAAGGAATGATTGCTGCTAAATAGAATAGATATAGTAATGAAAATAAGAATAATAATAAAAATAATATATAATAATAAT